ATCACCTTTACAGGAACATTATTATCTCCTCTGCATTTCCACTGGATTTATCAAGATATAAATAAATTATCTGGGCAGAAGAAAAAGACCCAGAAAGGAGGAAATACTTTTTATCATCCAGTAACTTCTAGATGTTCGTTGTTAAAGTTGTTGTCAGTCGGATCCATCCAGTTTTCTTTCACTTCATGACCGGCTTCAGTCCCTGATCCTCAGTTTAAAACTCTCTAAATGTTTACTTTTATAAATAAAAAGAAATAATGTTCAATAAATTATAAGCATTTCAAAATAACTCCAGAACCCTGCCTTTATATATCTGCATCATGATGATAGTAGAATTGTGTCACCAATTTACTATATATAGTAAAACCTTTTTGAGGATAAAAACATTAGAATGATTTTTTTGAACCACATTCAGGCTTTGGGATCATAATTATTGTCAAGAAAGACTTAAACTCCAGTGGATTGTTATGATATATTCTTTAATCCCTATACATATATTTTCCCTCTTTAACATTGCACATTACTGTCATCATCTCTGGACAGAACAGACAGATGGTGTATTTTGGTCAGATCACATTTAAATTAATAAAAAATAATCAAATAATAGAAAAATCTTATCCACACAATCACATAGAAATTTCTACATATTGAATACAACAATGTAACAGGACAGTTATTCCAGTGTATCTGTACAAATAGATTTTCACATATTTTTTGCACATATTTAACATATTTTATGATATATTTACTGCATTGTGGCCAACATGAAGAGACGAGTTACAGTCATAACTCCTGTTCGGAGTCTTTAAAGGTTCCCCAGAATGATGATAGGTGTCTCCAAACCCGGGGTTTTTTCTCCAGGCGTCTTTTATCCTCATTTGGATAAATCCCGGATTTTCCCAGGATTCCCAGCTGCAACAAGCTCCTTCTCTCTTGTGTCCATGAAACAGTGGCAGACAATATCTATGTTATAAAGCCAACACACTTCACATTTTTACTGCAGAGGAAAATGAGTCAGTTAACATGAACAAACACTCCAGTAAACAGTGACGTCAGGGCTGCTTTAGTCTTTTTTCATGTCATTTTTCTTACCAAATGCACCTTGTGGCAAAAAGACAAAAATAAGGATATTAAAATGCCTGCAACAGAAAATTTCCCCCCAAAATCTGCCACTTAGAGAATCTAGAAGGCTGCACTTGGGCTTTAAATTTTGTTTTTAAATAAAGTTTGTCATAAAATTAAAAATATGAATTATGTCTTAGATTTGGCGCTAAAAATCTGAGAAATGCAGATTAAACTATTTGGATTTTTATTCCAAGTATTTTGGGTTGACTCCACTGATAGTGAGCTTTTAATTTTAATTCAGAAAAGAAAAAAAATCTACACAATGAAAGGTTCCTACTTTGTTGAGCAAAACCTTTCCCTTTTGTAAAGCTCAACATTTCCTGGATAAATTAGTTTGCACTGATTGTGAATTATTGCTACTTTCAGTGAACGTCAGCTTCATGCCAAGCGCAGCAAACTAAATATAAATTAAAAGACGTTTAGAACTGCAGTACAGCTAGATGTTACAGGAGGTCAGAAAAGAAAAGTAACTGTTAAAAAGTCTCATAAAACATTAATTAAGAAACTGCATAAAAAGCTGTTTTTAAATGATGATTTAAATTTTTTTGAAATAAAAAAATCTGTATTTATCTGGCTTAAGATTGAAAATACTTTTTCACAGAACTAGAGCTGAAAATGTGTCATGATGCGTTCATTTGAAGTATTGAAACATTTTTCCCTTCATGCCATGTTTGATTGGCTCAAAACAATCAAACTAAACCAAACTTCTTGAGTTTAAACTGATAAAGTTCTGGATTTTCCTACTTACTTTCTGACCCACAGTGATTCGATCCTGGTCCTTCAGCCCATTTCCAACACAGATTCACATGCATCCGCAACTTTTCACCCAAACAAACGGTACAGTGCACTCCCCACGCACAAAGACCCACAGAAACGCACGGTAAAGCTGGACACACACTGCGTGTGAGTTTTGTTTGTGCCTACACCCAGGAGTCGGGGGACCCGGTGAACTTGTTGGCCCTGCTGGAAGGCCTCCGCGTGGTGGAGTAGAAGTCCACGTAGTTGGTGTTGGCTTTGAACCGGAGCGACTGGGTGGCGTAGCCGTCGGGCGAGGACGGCAGGTGGACCGCCTCGTCCTCGTAGGGCTCCTCGCCGTAGCCTTGAGGCGACGACAGGTACATTCGGTAGCTGTTGTAGTTCTTCCTGTCGGGTTCGTCGTAGAATGGCTCTGGGTGCTACGGAGAAATACTGGAGTGAAGTAATTGTTTCCACACCAGGCTGACAGAAATATCCTTCAAAATCCATAAAAGTGAGTTCTTACCTGTGATCTTCTTATATCCTCTCCTGACTGGGAGGAATATGTCCCAATAAAATAGGGAGTTTTCTTGTCTGACCCTGTCAACAGACATTTCAATTTAGCATTAAAACAGGAGGGCAGGTGTGTCCAAAGTGTGGCCCAGGGGCCTTTTGTGGCCCTTGAAATGATTTTCGACCACAAATCAAGATTGGTACAAGTTTGGCCAACAAAACATAAAACAATTGATGCCCACAGACATTTACAAATGGTCTTTTTCCATGAAAAAGGTAACAGTTCAAAGCCCTTTTTCTGCATTTTCAATTTCATAAATTTTGTAGCTTGAACTAGCCAGTTTTGTCCTCCTGGGGAAACAGTTTGGACACCACGGCATTAGTGGCTCAGGTACACAACCCTGAGAAACACCAAAATACCAACCTGTGAACTGCCGTTTGTGTAAACTGTCTCCATAATATGTGTCGAGTTGCATAGATGACTGCGCCCTCTGGTAGTTTGAGCTGTGTCTTCTTATCCCAAGCATGGCGGGTGAAGATGTTGCACTGCCACCTGGTGGTGAACACAAAGCAGGAAATATTTACCTTAAAGTGAGGGTAAAATATGGAGGGTTATCTCACATTTCATACCTGACTGGATGACAGGGGACATCTGCAGAGGGCTGGTGGGCAGGGTCGGCTGGGAACGGTAGCGGTCTCTCTCCAGGGTGGACACTGGGGTGACAAAGTGAGTGTAGTTCCATCCGTCCTGTTTGCATGTGACACATCACAACAAGAAGTCAAATTCACTGGGAGGATCAAGCTTGTAACTGGACTGTTTTAAACGTTAACAGGAACCTTTGTTAAATTTTCCACCCACCTGTTTATAGAGACTCCTCAGCTCTCTGTATTGCCACAGTGTATTCAACACCTGAGCAGCAGCCTTCACTACTTTCACTGAGTACCTGAAACACCGTAACAAAGAAGAACCTGATTTTACTTTCAGTGAACCCCAAAAAGCCAATACCAAAACATAACAGGAAATAAATACTAAAACAAGAAAATATACTTTTAGCAATATATTGTATGTGAACAGGATATATGATCATTGGGCTTGCCATACTGGATTTGTAGCCATTGGGTTTAATGAATAAATGATATGAAGATGGAATTTCCATTTTGCATTATTTGAGCATTTGGCTTGCCGTACTGAAGTATATGAGCCTGGAGCTTGACATATATGATTATGTGAGCAAGCAATTTGCTATGCTGGAGTAACTGAGCATTGTGCTTCCCGTACTGGAAAAAGTGCAGGATTTGCCGCACATGATTAAATAGGTATTGAACTTGCCATACTGGGCTTTTTGAGTGCTGGACTTGCTGTACTGGATTATATGAGCATTGGGCTTGCCAAACAGCTTCCTTCACTTCTGTTAATCATCATGTTTTTGCCTGCTGCACGTTCTGCCGTTCATCTTTAATTAAAAGTTGATGAAGGAAGCAGCCTTTGTTTTTACCCTTTCCCTCGTCCTTTGCTGATGTCCACCAGCTTCTCGATGCCACCGCTGTCGGCCAGAGCTTTGGCGTTCTCCATGTTGCGGCTGGTGACCTCATGCAGCGTGCAGCAGACCGACGCCACCGTGTCGTCGGACAGCACCGAGGGCGTGCCGCCCGGCAGCCGGTTCACCAGGTCCCGCATGGCGTACTTTCCTGACATATTCAGACAGACTCATCTCATACAGGTGCTGCTTCTCCAGTTTGTCTATTGAGCGTGTGAGCGTACCGATCAGCTCCTTGTTGCGGCTGTCCAGCGCCATGTTTCTGAGTGCGGTTGCGACGGAGCAGACCACCCGGTCGTTGTCCATCCTCAGCAGCTCCACCAGGATGGGTAAACCTTTCTCTTTACGCACAGCGGCTCGGATATAGGCGGAGAACTGCAGATAAAAAACACAAACTGATTGCCATACAACTCAGTTTACATTTCCTGGAAAAGAAGAACGGTAAATTCCATCCATCCATTTTCTAACACTTTGTCCCTTAGTGGGGTCAGGAGGGTTGATGGTGCTGAAGAACTGTAAATTATTTAAAAAAAATAATTTTATCTTTATTGAGTCACAAAAAGGCAAATTTTACAAAGCATATAGTCACAATATCATGATGTCAGTTTCGATATTTCAGAAGAATAAGTAAATCTGTGCATCAAAATAAATTAAACAACCATTACAACTCTATTTCCCAGGGAAAGATTACAATGTTACAAAAACACTGGAAGTCCAGATTTAAAGGAATTCAGTGTTTCAGCTGTTTTGCAGTTTTCTGGAATTTAAAGAAATGTCAATTAATGTGCATTAAATCAGGTTAAATGTTATTTACATCCTGGTATCTAGGGATGTTTTTTTTTTATTTTGTTACTGCTTTTACACTTCTTGAGCTTGAGAATATCTTGTAAGCCATTATTTGTCTCTTTTCTGTATTTTTTGTAGCTGGACTGTCTCAAAAGTAAAGAATGCTACGTTGTGAAGAACTGAGATGTTCTACCTTCCAGTTTCCGGCGGAGAGGTTCTGCAGGGAGCCGGCGGCGCCCTCCAGGGTGGCCGGGTTGGAGCTCTCAGCCAGCAGGTTGAGGTACGGCTTCACCACCATGGGGTGCCACAGCAGCTCCGCCCCCCTCAGAGACTGGCAGAAACCTGGGATGGGGCCGATGCCGTCCCACTGCCGGGCGGAGAGGACGTCAATAAACCTCTGGACTCAAATCAGGAAACGACTCTTTCCTCCGCTGTCGTACCTTGCCTTCGGGCCAGCCGCCCCTCTTCCTGCCGCGCCGTCTCTTCCCCCAGCACAGGTAGTCCAGCTCCTTCACCGGCGAGGAGAAACCCAGCAGGGTGTCCAGCTCCTGGTTGCCAAGGAGACGGGAGGACGGCATCTCCACCTCCAGGCGGTATGAGAGGTTCCTCAGGGTGCAGACGCTGTTCTCCACAATCTGAAGGGGAGAAACGTTTTTTATTTTTTAGCTGCATGAAAATAAAGAATTATAATTTGAGCCTGAAGATGGCGCCACATGAAAATATTTGGAAAATCTGAATTTTAATCCAATAATTATAGCATGCCAAAAGATAAATATTGTTTTGTTTTACTTTTAAGCAATACATATAGTTGTTCTTATTTAAAGTTTCTAGAAACCACATAAAGTTTTTATTTCTATATGTTTAGGACCACAACCGAAGATTAAATCTTTCTGCTAGAACAAATCAGGCTTTTGGTTTTGCATAAAATGTTAATTTTGATATGATTAACTCAATAAAATCTAACTGTAATATATTTTTACATGTCCTTTGCATGAGCCACCAGTATTAGACTCCCCAATATGAATATCTGAGTCCACCACTAATAATAAGTAGAAAAAATATATTATCTAAAAAGTTCAGATTGTTGATCAGCTAAATAAATTTTTTTTCTCCATAAGATTGTCTGTTTATTTACATTTTGTGCAAGTAATACAAATTATTACTTATATTAAATATTTGGATAAATTTTAGATGACCTATGATAAAAACAAAAAAAAATTGTCAGACTTCTTCCCACAGCTTTACTTATAATTAAATAATAAAATAATAATAAAACTGATTATTTTTATACATATAAGTGTTTTACGTTTGTTGTACTTTTTATACATGTTCTTTTATACATGAATGGTGTTCCATTAATAGGAACATCATTCCTATTAATGATGTGTTAATAGGAATGAAGTCAATTAAAATATATATTTTATCCATTATTTATTCAATTATATTCATTTTTGTGCCAGAACCTCTATAATAAAAAAAATACCCTTAATACATTTTTTTAAATTGCTCAAATAAATATTGATTTTCTTTTTTACATAAAATCGTTGTTATTCAAACTTTTTTCTTGTTTTTTTTTTTTTTTTTTTTTTTACAAATGGCCCCCTTTCTCCCGCCAGTAGCAGCCCCTGCATTAATCATTTCTAGGACCAGCCCTGATCCTCTGCCTCTCTCCTGCTGGGAATAAACTGAGAAGCATGACGGCGGCGGCGACACCTTGCTGTCATAGTCCGAGGTGTTGACGCAGGCCTTCAGGATGTGCAGCAGCGAGTCGACCAGGCCTTCGCAGCAGCGCAGCTGGCTCCTCGCCTCCTCCCCCGCCGAGCTCAGGTTCCTGACACACAAACACACACCGGCGGTTCAGGCGGCGCTGCAGTGCGCGGGTTCCCCCACAGGGTGGCCTGAAACCTGCCCGGATACAGGAGAGGAGGGAGCCGCCCCTCCAATAGGAGCGGAACGACCGCACAGCAGCACTGAACTCCCACAATGCATTTCTATACCATCAATCTACAGCTGCACATCAGCGTGAGTGAAGGGAAGCGCTGCAGGCTGCAGAGGATGGAGTTTCAGGAGAATCTGTGCACCAGCTAAACTTGGGATTAACACACTTTGCACTTTAAAGCAGCTGATTTTTTTCATCTTAAATTAATTAATGTACAAGAAAAGCTTTTAAATGAGACGCATCAACACTTCACAGCTGGACAAAATCTGCAGAGTTATAGAATCGTTAAGATGACAAATAAATCCAGATGGAAGTGATCAACATAATAAAACATCAAGCAGCTCAGCAGCTTAACGAGGCAGAATCAAAATAATGTAACTTATTTTCATGTTATAACTACAAGCTTGAAAAAATTAGATTTTAAGTGATACACAAAAACAAAGTGAAGCATAATAGACAGGTGGAAGATAAAAAGAGTTTTCAACACTTTTTACAAATAAAAACAAAACAAAGTGTGATTTAAGTTGATATTTATGCACCCTGGTTACATTAGTTTCCAGCTGTAAATCTATCAGCTTTGAACTACTTTTTTTTTTTTTTTTTGCAAAATTAAAGAGTGGACTTTGACTAGGCCGTTCTACCTTGTTTCAACTCATTTCTATTTTTCAATTAAAACAAATTATTTAATTGTGAGTCAATTCTTTCCTATTTACCTGCTCAGCAATAAATTAAAAATGTAATATTTTAACAAAACAAAGTAAAAAAGAAAAAATTGTAGGTCTAAAAAAAGGGTAAAAGAAAATACAAGAAAGTTAAATGTGCTTGAAAACCGCAAGATATACTTTTAATACGGTTTAGTTTAGGTTGTGAAGGGTGCGTTTAATTCGCGGCTCACCGCAGACAGCCGGTGGTGTTGCGCAGCAGCATGGAGGACTGGAACTTGACTTTGTGTTCGTCGCGGTGGGAGGCGGTGCTCCAGCCCGAGTGGGGGATGACCACCGTGTTGGTCAGCGTGCTCAGGGCGTCGCGGATGATGGTCATCTTCACCGCGTCGCAGGAGGAGAGGTTCCACAGGACGCCTGACCAATCAGAAACAAACATTGAGATCTTGCACGAGGATATTTGCTTTAGAAACAAGATCAGAAACACTTGGTTTCCTTATAAAGCAGGGAAAACGAAGTGATGTTTCAACCATGCAGGTACATCTGTGAACGTGAAGCACTGTGCATGGAGTTGTTGAAGAGCATCTTCAAAGAAACGGAGCAGCCCTCTCTGTAATCATCCCAATCCAGAGCCGAGTGTTTAAGAATAGCAGCTCTCTCAGTGAAAGGACTCGTCCCTGTGTTTCTAGCAGCTTCAGATCCGCTGGTGCTCGACAGTATGTGCCGCGCCATCGGCGCCGTCCTGTTTCCAAAGCACATTATCTGAGCATCTGTCCCGGCGGCTGTGCCGAGATCCGCTCCGCCAACAGTGCGCGGCGAGTGTTTAAGCCTCTGCCACTCTCACCTCCCACCGAACAGCCAATCCACGGATTAATGCGCCGCCTGCGAGCCAGCCAGCCGGTCAGACGGCGCCGCAGAGCGACGCGCAGTCATCGAGCTGGCCAGCTGGCCGACAGGCCTCGCTAGCAGGAGAACTCCCACGCACCTCACAGCGGGATTTCAGAGTGTCACGTTGGGTTTGGAGACAGATTTTAGTCATTTTGGGTGCTGAAATCAAATGTCTGCTATAATAAATATACATAAAGCTTAAATAATTTGATTGCAAGCAAGGCTGAACTCACCGACAATTGTTCAAGCTGCAGAGTTGTGCGGAAAATATTTTAACCTTTTTATTTATTTTTTGTCATTCTTGGGGTTTTTTTAAACTAGTTTTTATGTCTTTTAAAAAAAAATAACATACCACATTGGACTGAAACATGTAACAACATATTGTGTCATAAGGAAAGCTGCTGTTCTGGATTGTATCATATCGCAGCACATACATGATGCAGCTGCAGTTAGCTAGCTTAGCAGGGTTAGCCGAAGCTAACATCCGTACCGGTGACGAGCTCGCGAACTTCGTTGTCTGTGGTTTTCCTGAGGAGGCGCAGCAGAGCCGGAACGCCGCCGCAGTTCCTCAGCGCCACCTTGTTGTTGTCGGTGGCTTTGCCGTACACCAGGTTCCTCAGAGCTCCGCAGGCGCTCTTCTGGACCTCCGGCGTCTTGTGATCCAGTAGATCCACCAGGTGCTGGATCCCTCCCAGGTGGCACACCTACACATCCAAAACCAAACAGCTCCGTTTGTGTTATTCTTAAAGTACTGAACAGCTGACTGTGTGTCTTGAGTAAAACTAAAACCTCATTTTTAGGGCTGTAATTAACAATTATTTTAGTTATTGATGAACCTATTGATTATTCCGAATGAAAAAAAAAATTCCATTTTCATTTTATAACTTAAGTTTTTTTTTATACAATATTAGAAATACATAGAAGACCCAAATAACTGAATACATTTTTAATTTAGAAAATGAACATTTTATTGCAGTAACATCATTCCTTTAGCGAACGCTTTGTCATTTGTAACAATGGATACAGATCTATAACATTTCTTAATTTAATTTTGGGTTAGACTGAATTATTTTAACATAATTTGAACCAGGTGAAACTATGCCATTTTAGAAGTTATGAATTGAACAAATTTACAGAAAAAGAAGGAATTTTAGCCTTACATGCAAAATGTATATGTAGATTTTGTAAAGATTTGACTAAATTTCTAATCTGAGGGAGTTTTTCTGCCCTTTTTTTAAATCTGTACACTCTGGTTAATGATTAATCAGTGACTAAATTAGTTGATAAATCATTCTAGCCTGACTCATTTTCAAGGAAATGCTGCGACATTAAAAACCTCCTGCATATGAAGCCACAGTGAAAGCGTTGGCTGCAGGATTTCAGAGCAGAGAAAGTTTGGCTCCGATGTCGGGTGACGTTTTCTTTGGAGCAGATGGTGCTTTGGCTCTGAATCTGGCTGCCTTTCATAAAAAGTCAAATTTAAACTTTAACGGCTTAGAAACACCCAGAGCAGCGATGGATAAAGGAAAGTAAAATGAAAAACATCCTGAATAGAGAAATATAACCGCGTTTACTTCATGAAGCTCGAACAGCAGCAGGTTTTCTCAGAGTGACGCTTGTCTGTGACGCATCGTCTTATTTTTATCCAGACCGCCGCCCAGCGTGCCTCGTCACCTTACCTCCACCTTCACCCTGTTGTCTCCGTAGCACAGGTGCTGCAGGTAGGCGGCGGCGTTGGCCTGGACGGAGGGGAAGTGATGCTGCAGCATGTGGATGACCTCTGGCAGCTCCGGGTCACGCCACGCAAACTCCCTGAGCCCAGACAACATCGCGGGTCAGTTTGTTGCTTTTGGACGTTGATTCCAACTAAGCTAAACATCATTTTTCATAAGATCCTCTAAATATTTCCCATTTCAAAACTAAAAACTCATAATTTTAAATATTTCCTGCAATTTTCAGCCTATTTTTGCAAACTAAGCACAAACATTAAATGTAATTTGGATCCAAATCTTTACAAAAACAACAAAAGCAGAAGATTAGCTTCAACTGACTACAGCGATCATGTTTATTTTTGATTCAGTTACTCAGAATCAAGAAATCCCTTGAATAGGACCTGGATGACAGCATGAAGTAGGCAAAAAGACGTCACAAACCTGCCCAAAATCTAAATAAATCAAGAACAGATGTGAAACAAAGTCACTGACATTATCAGTCTGGAAAAGGTTATGAAGTTACATCAGCAAGTCCCTTTCTAAATGGTAAAAAAAAACATATGGAAGGTTTTGGAGTGGTCTAGTCAAAGTCCAGACGTAAAAATCCTCCAACGTTGCAGAATTAAAACAATTCATGCAAGAAAAGTGGGTCAAAATTCGTCCACAATGATGATAAAGAGTCAGTTCCATCATCAATATACCTTTGATAAATACTTATTAGCCTGAATATACATTTCAGAATATGAATATTTACTGACTGAATTACAGGAAATGCCTTTAACAGAAGCAACCAGGAGACTGTGAAGGAGAGCCGAAACATTTCTAGTGCGGTTTCTGAGTACCTGGGGTCCTTGTGGATGCTTTCGATGGACGGCGTGCGAGTGATGACCCGGTCCACCAGCGCCGAGTGTCTGTGGGAGTACACAGGCTCAGTGGACACCCTGACGGAGTCGACGAACGCCGCCGCTGAGCTCAGCCCGTAGCTGCTTCTTTGGTACGGCAGCGTGCCGCAATGGCTTGTGGTCCGAGGAAGGGTCCCCATACCTGAGTTTAGAAAATACAACAAAAAAAAAAAACACGTTATGAGCTCTAAAAGGAGACTAACCATTTAAATTGGACACAATGTCTGAAAGGCAGCTTAAATAACGACTAAACAAAATTAAAATGGCTCCTCGGATACTTCACCATCGCCCTCCACAGAGCGCTCAGCTGTAATTCTTTCCATTAGGAAGCTGCAAAGGAACATGAAAGGCTTCAGCCTAATTAAGAGCTGACCTCAGGGAGCAATAATAATCACAGCTTCCCAGCCTGCAAACCACATTTTACAGAGTTTTTTTTTTTAAAGAAATGATCTGAGGAGAAGCAAAGGCCTTAAGACGAGGGGAGTGGCAGGCTTTGGTGTGGAGATCAGGTTGTTTGTGCCATTTAAATACGACTTAAATGCAAATTAATGCGCTGGGAGAAATTTGAAGTCTTCTGTTTTTGAAGACTGGCGTCAAAAATACATTTCCTCCCACAACTGGGACCAGATGAACTGAAATTTATTGAGGAGGTTTATTACTGTTGAAAGGTCAAGAAAATTCATTATATTATGTGAACATAGTAAAAGCATTGAGACCCTTCACATTTGATCACAACCATAAAGTTTTATGAGAAAGACGAACACAAAGTGGTGCATAAAAGTGAAAAATATTCTGAGGATAAAAATGTCTCTTTTAGTCTGGGGTCAATGACTTTTACATTTTTACCTTCAGTCCAGCAAACAAACTAAAAAAAAAGCTTCTCTTATTATCCCTAATATTGGACATTTGATTACATTTTTGATTTAAAATAATTTTACTAGTGTCTCAATTGGGAAACTAGTAAGATTTTTTAATTGAACCTTCTGTCAAAAACGACCAAAGTCTGCAACATATGAAGAAAAATTACTTCTATTTATACCTTACACTATAATTTTTATTTTTTCTGGAAATTTTACACTTATATTGCATCAAAACATCTCATAAAAACTCCTAAAGCATTTTTATTAAAACAATGCTCTGTTCTTTAGTGTTTGGTGGATTGCTGGTCCAGTGCAGCCAGCTGCACGATGGTGGCAGCATAATGCTACGGGATGCAGGGAAAGGGAAGCAGGTCAAAGGTGAGAGTAATCCTAAAGGCTAAAAAAGGTTTGATACTCCATCTTCCAATTAACAGCAGCTCTAAACATGCAGCCAGAAGCTGTAGTGTAGCTTAATCTGACCTAGTCAAAGTCCAGACCTAAATCTAACTGAGAGTCTGTGGAAATACAACTAGAAGAATTAGCAACATTTTCTGTGTCTAGACATGAAAAGCTGCTTCGTGTTGCTGCATCACTCAGATTCTCCATCTGTTTCTGGTGGTTGTGAGGGTGCAGTACCTGCGTTTGCTCTGTAGAGGGAGCCCTGCGGGTCGTGGGTGGGGCTGTGGTACAGGGGGCTTTGGAAGGAGCGGTCGTCGAAAACAGGAGTCATCTGGCAGTCTGGTGACAGGGCGGCCCGCAGCTCGGGGTCCATCTGGGTCCCGTGGCCGGCGTAGGAGCTGTGCAGCCCTGCAGGAGCACAAAACATGAACCTTATTGTCTAATTATTGATCAATTATTACTATAGATCAGTGCAAACGGTTTTAATCGTCTGGGTTCTAACAGTTTAGCTCTATATCGATGTGACTTTTTGTCTAATTCAGTCAGTTTTTAGTGTGTTTGCGTGTTTTTATGCATCATCATTAGCTAGTCATAGAAGTAGTTTTAGTTTTTTCATGCTTTGGTTGAGTTTTAGGTGCAGAATTTAGAAAAGTATTGTATTGTGATTATGCATGAATTGATTGAATATTTAACAGACGATGCCATTTTCAACTAACTGGGGTTTTCTTCAAACTTTTGCTGTCGCCATTTTGCGGATTAGCATAAGTCTGACGTGAAAATCAGTTTCACATCAGTTCCAAAAACTAACAGATTCAAAAACACAAAAATACAGGATATTATATCTATAACTTCAGTATGTTTTAGCCAGTTTTAAAAACACTCAATATAATTCCAGTTAGTTATAGTTTCTCCCCATTAATCATCATTTTTATTCATTCCAGTGAATGAAAATGTTTCAGTTTTTGTTGCTTTTATTCACCTTTTCGTGGAAAGCATTCATATTTCATGGAGACTTTGTGCAAAAAGCCTGCATGCAAAGCAGAGAGAATTCGCCGTTCGGCTTAAAGATCCGCACCACGACTCTGGTCACTGGGTTTGCTGCAGGCCTTGGCATCAGCAAGTCAAACAAACGGGGCGAAGGGTTTTTCCATCCTCCAATCTCGCAGCAGATCAGCTCAAAGAGCGCCCCAATTATAAAGAGGCTTCAGGGCAGGAGAGGGAGGGAGGACAGACTCAGCTGAGCAGCTCAAGCGAAAGATTTGCACATAAAGCTGGTGATGAAGGAGTCATTTCCCTGCTGCGCTTCTCTTTTTTTATGATTTACATAAATTTCCTGTTAAGATCAACTGCAGAGCATAAAGAACTGTGAGCCTGGGACAGTCGGGACATTTATGCCTCCCTTCTCAGTCTTCAGCTGCAGAAAGCAGATCTGTAATCTGCAAGTTAGAGGATTTTGAAGGCAGAAGGAAACGGCTGCTTCAAGAGGAGCGGTTTGGACCGACTCATTTATTATTACGGCAGTTATGAAACGGGATGTTATTTAACTCCATTAATTATGAAGACGACTCAATCCTAAAGTCCCCAGGAGAATAAATTCACTTCTATGTTTCTTCAAATGTTTTTGGATGTTTTTACAAAGTAGATTTTTTTTTTTTGGTTCAAGCTGCGCTAGACTGATTAAAATAAATATTATTTTAATAAAACATAAGTACAGTAAGTTGGGTTTTGTAGGATTTTAGCTTAATTAGTGGAACAAATGGGTAAAAAACACCATCAAAAATATTATACTATTATATAATACTGTAATCATTTTTATTAAGTGTGCCATGAAATCCAACATTTATTGCCTGACGTATCAATAATGATACAAAACATGAGAAATCCATGTGATGATTCATTAAAAACATCTAATAAACAGTTAAAATAATTAAAGACTCAAAAGTACCTTAAAAGAAAAGGAAACTTTAGTTTAAATAGGATTTAAGTGAGAAAGGAGGACAACAAGAACATTTTGTCCAACAAGAAACAAAATAAAAAACGTTTCTCACTTGGATTTCAGCTTCAAGCTACCAGTTTAAATGCTAAAGCAGTTTCAGCTGATGTGTTTTTAAAGCTGTTTAATACCATTTTGTTCTTCTGTTAAAACCATTCATCAGTGCTTTGCTCCTTATAGTTTCTGCTGAGTTTAGACGCCTCCAAACTGGTTCTCCCAAACATCAACAACACTTCGTAGTGAAGGTTTTTTTCGCAATAAAAAGGCTCACCAGTCAGCGTCTGCTCGTTGGCAGAGTCCCCGTCTCTACCTAAGCTACTGTTATTACTGGCCTAATCATGTGGCTCCATCTATTGCTTATCTCCCTCATGTAATCTGGGATTATCATGGATCTGCAGGGTAACCCAGAATAAGTCTGGAAACAACATATATGCCACTTAGCAGGAATTTCTATCGCGTTTTCACACATGCAGAACCATAAAAGAGCATGAAAGCGTCTGCAGCTCGGTCTCGATTTAAACAGGATGAAAACCATCTGCAAATCTGTGCGGCGTCGGGCTTTGCGACAGAATCGGACCTATATGGGTCAGAGTGAGCGGCTTTGGGCAGCATGCAGGAGTAAATCTGCGTCTCTGCAGCCTCAGCAGGGAGAGCCGTCGATAAACAGCTAATAAAAGCAGGAGGGATGATAAATCTGGCTTAATGTTTGCAGAAGAAAGACTTTTCAGCTCGGAGAGATCCTGGTGCCAAAGTTAAACACAGTCAGTTCAAAGCTACATTGATGCGTTTCTTTTTGGTGGGAAATTTGCTCCGAGTGCGCCTCAAAGACGTTTGTAAGCCGGGCTCAGCGAAGACTCTGGCAGCAGCACAGAAATAATCCTTTCTCAAGTTTCTCAGCAAGACGTGGCTGTCTCAGCCAATCAGAGAGGCACAAAGAGGAAGGATCGCATCTCCAGGGACGTCAATTAGCTGCCCGTCATCTGGGAAGAAAGTTACAGCTAAATGTCAAAAACGAGAACCATTAGATCGCTCTTTGATCCGACAGTGACGGCAGGATGAGAAATAATAAATCAGCAGGACTGATGAACCGACAACCCAGAGAAAATTCAAAGGTTTTCTGTGTAATTTACAGCTGGTGCAGATTCAGAGGGAATAAGGCTGCAACTAACAATCATTTGCAGATTTTTCATTTACGTAAGCATTTTTTATGCAATGTTAAAAAAATACATTTTTCAAATAAGAAAATATTTTAAAATATCTAAAATGCAACAATATCATTGATCTAGTGAGCATTTTATCATTTGTAGAAGCTAAAATTACTTCTAACATCAACATGTGAAAATCTCAGTTCTTTCTGCTTGACTAAATATCAATACAGTGATCTGTTGATTAGTTTTTGATCAATCACTTAACAATTGTATCACAAAATGTGCTGAATAGGCCTTTTTTTGTTTTCTTTTCTTTTCTTTTTACAAAATTTGAACCCTAAAACTATGTATTTAAGTCTTTTATCTTAAATGGAAACTTTTTATGTTATTTTTGTACAGTTTCGGTTTAATAAACCCTCAGAATGTGTTTTTTCAGTCTTAACACTCAAGTTAACAATTAACCAATGACTAAATTAGATGATAATTATTTCAATAATCGATTCATAATGACTCAGGTCTAGATAGAAATAATAAAATAGACAGTTTGAAGGCTGTAGGACCATCTTACAGTCGTCCTGGTCACCTGTTACCGGGCAAAGCTGATTTGTAGAAATTTCTGTTTACTGGCTGAAAAGAAAACAATACCACAAAGAAGTGAAGCCAAAATAAAAAGTCGATACGATGCAAGAAAACCATTACAAGCTAGATGGGCCGCTGTTAAATTTTAATGGCTGAAATGGCAAAAAACAGTGAACCAGCTGTGAAGCAAGCTGCATTTTCTCCTCACATTAAAATCTAAATCCAGCATCACAATGATCAAGCAGGATAAAGCCGACTAATATTAAGCTCTCAGAAAGGCTTCGCCTGCTGAAAATCTGAGGATTAGGTTTAAAGAGTGATCGGACATCCAGCTGAAGGTTGTTGAAGGCTAGAAAAACCATGTGGTGAAGCTGCAACCGTTGATACTAAAACAGTTTCCTCACAGCCTGAAATCCCACTGATCATGCTGAGTGTTTCTTCACTCCATGCTACTGAGTCTCTCTGGCTTGTTTTCCTCCTGCACATCAATCACAGCATCCAACTTTGTTAGCATGAGGCCTCGGCTCAGACTGAAACCTCTGTCTTCCTCTTTTACACCAGCTTGCATCATGAAATTCAGCTGCATTTGGAAAAGTTTCGTCTGCAAACGCAGGAAGAGAAATCCGAGTCTGCATACAGTAAGTGACTCTGCACCGTAAAAACTGTTTACTCAGACCAAAACTAAATTATTACACCAACACAGAAAATAGTGTCAAGTTTATCCAGACCATTTTCTCTCCCAGCAGTGATTTCCTGCTCAGATTGTGACCTGGGGTGAGAGCTGACCTCTCGACCTTTCCTTTCGTATTACAGATTCAAACGATGGAGGTCTGCATCAGTCAGTGCATTCTGAGAGAAACAGAGCAGCATTTTATTTTCTTTAAGGGAGCCAAAGCTGTAAAACTGTATTATTCTGTTTTTAACCGTTTCCAGCAGGTGTTTCCTATATTATTCCACCAAAAAGTGTCAAGTTGAACATTTTAAATTCTGAGATTAATCACAAAATGTCTGAGTTTTTTCTCACAAATACTCAACTTTCAGACATTATAGATATACAAAAAGGCTAAAAAATAAATAAATCTAAAAAATGTTTTGAAAAAACTTGGACATTTATGAGTTTGAAAAGTTAAAAATTTGCTAAAAAAAAAAAAAAAAAAAAATTTTTGAAAAATCCAAAAATCTGAAATTTTCTTGACAAGAAAATATCTGAGCTCCCAGAGGTGAAAAATTGCAAGAAAAATTTTTGAGCTACAAAAGTGGAAAAATTTCGTCTTTCTAGAAAATTTTTCATATTTTGAAAATAATCTCAGAAATTTTCTTTGAAGCACAAGGACATTTCTGAACTCTGAAAGTCAAATTTGTGAGAAAAAATCTCCACAATTTATTTTGAGATTGATCTCAGAAATTTTCTAGAAAAAACAAGGAAATGTATGAGTTTGAAAATTCATACATTTTCCAAGTTTCCGAGTTCTTTCAAGCAAACGTTCAACATTTCAAACTCATAAATGTCCTTGTTTATTCTAGGAAATTTCTGAGATTTTTGGTGTGAATTTACTCCTGTTTTTTTCTATATAAATCTGCCCCACTACTCAGCCGTAAATCGATAATCAATGGCATTCTGATTAACTGTTTGCATCCCAGGAGGAGGTATGTGGTCGTATTTCTGACTGACCTATCAGGCTGTCTGGCCGCGGCAGGGCGCTCCTCTGGTACAGGCCGTACGGATCGGCGCCGTAGGCCAGCGACTGGCTCTGTCTGGGCAGCGTAGAGCCGTAGTGCTGAGGCATCGCCGTCATCCCTGAACGCAGTGGAGACCCCGTCAAAGCCCTCCCCTCGATCAAGGACAGGGTGGAGCCCAGGCGGCCGCCGCCTCCTACGCCTCCTCCGTTTCCCAGGGCCTGGGTGGCGTCGCTGGGGGAGGTGGGAGACGGGCAGGAGGGCGGCATGGTGGTGCCGGGGAAGACGGCGGCGAGCGGTTTGGGCTCAGACAGGATGGGCGAGTCGTAGGTGCTGCCCTGGGATGTTCGCATGGAGATTCGGGACGGGGAGACGGTTCCGGTCGTGCCGCAGCCGGGCGACTGGCTCCTGGAGGGGAGGGAAGCCATTCTCCTCAACATCCGACTGGATGCCTGGGAAAAAAAAAATAGGTTAGTCTTCCCAATCCAGTGGAAATGTGACATTTAATTAGTCTGATAAAGGACTCTATTTTTATTACTCCTTCCATAAATGGGCTTTAATTTTCACAGGTCATTATGTTTGTGGGAATACTATTAAAGTGTGCTTGTGTTGAGGAGGAAATGTTATTAATTTAAGCTAATGGGCTTGAAAATCTGCTTTATGGTGCAGAAAAACACACAAAAACCATCAGCGCCCAGCAGAACCTGAGACAGTGATACAGTTTTACCTTTAATAAACAAAAAATAATAAAGATAAACCAAAGAAAATGTAATCTAATTTAACTGATTTGATGCATTGGCTGCACGTTAAAAATCGAAGCATGTTTGGCGTAAAACATCACCGAGCATCAGCTAAATTAAGAGAAAATGGAAATTAGTTCATTAATATCTGCCACTCCTGTTTCATCTGTCACAGAGAGAATAATGTGACACTTTAAAGGTGGGGAATAACTTGACATGATGCTCATGGCAATAATTACCGGGCATGCAGTCGCTGCTGTCAGTCAGAAGTAGAAAAGAAACAGGAGGCAGCTGTTTCCGGTGGAAGAGAATATATTCTCCTCCTGTGTGGCTCCTTAAAGTCGCCATGGTTGAGCTTTATGGTCTTTTGTTCAGCTCTCTTTATGTTAGCCGCCTGAAATGAGGGTTTTTAACATCGGGGGTTTTTTCATCTAAAAAGCTTCACAGTAATAAGTGGAAATTGAAGAACATTAAAAGATTTTATCTACTGTCCAAGATGGACGATTCATAGAAACCGGAATATAATTTACGACATATTTCTGAACTTACAAAATCAAAATCCAGTAGCCATTATGCTTAACACGTTACCACAAATAGTAAGAAACTAATATTTATATTAAGGGTGTCAGAAATTAATGCTTGCAGATCTAATAGTTGTATAATTTTGCAGCATTTCTCAAGTTGCTGGTTTAGCTTATAAATGATTACAGACATAACAGCCTGAAACTAGATAGGATGCATTTATGACTAAGCCTGTCATAATAAGCAATTAATCTAATGACAAATCAAAATTAACTCAATAATTTCTATTCTGATGATTATTTTTTTACTTCATAATCCATTTTATTAATGGTTTTGGTTAAATGTGGTTTTTATTGCCTTTTTATTTGTTATTTTCGGTTGTTGAGTTTTATTTTGGATATTAAAAATCTTCCGGTTTCAGTTTGAAGTGTTCTTTACAAATAATTAACATTTGTTGGTCTTTAAGAGGGGAAACTTAGATTATGCCATTGAAAATGGTTTCAAATCAACATTATTATCGTTTATTGCAATAATTACTGGGACAATTTACTGTCCAGTAGAATTTGTTTTTGTTACAGACCTATTCATGTCATAAAATACCACTTTTTTATTCCTAATAATAATAATAATGAGACTTATATATTTGTTTTGAAGTAAATACCTGGTTTTAATTGTGAAATATTAAGTACAAAAGCTACAGTAGATCACTTACAGAAATAATAATTTGTATTGTTTGATTTCTGGAACATTTTATGGTTTTATGTTTTTATGTCTACTCATGTGACAGTTGTTTATAAAAATAGGAGGATAAATTTAAATAATTTCAATCCCATCCAGTTACTTTCTAGTTACATGAGTGCTGAGTCCCAGCTGAACCAGTAGCTGAACCAGTAGCTGAACCAGTGGCTGAACCAGTAGCTGAACCAGTAGCTGAACCAGTAGCTGAACCAGTAGCTGAACCAGTAGCTGAACCAGTAGCTGAACCAGTGGTTTACCCGCATGAGTTACCAACTAGGACAAGTCTTCTTGATTATTGAAACAGGAGAGCACACTTATATAGTCTTTTCACTGAGACTTGCTGTAAGTTTATAAATGACTGAATGACTTAAACATCTGATGTTGTTGTCATAGCAACCTTCCAGACCTCCCAGATCTTCTGGTTCTGCTCTGCATCCCCAGAACCAAACATGGAGAAGCAGCATTCAGCTTTTATGCACCACAAACCTGGAACAACCTTCCAGAAAACTGTAAAACAGCCGAAACACTGATTTCCTTTAAGTTTAGAGTTGCTTTTGAAACATCATAAATGAAACATTAATCAAGTAATGTTTCAATTATTGACTGTTTGCTCTATAACTTTGTATTTTTTTTGTGATTTTCTGATGTAAAGCGCTTTGAAATGTCGTGCTGCTGAAATGTGCTGTACAGACAAACTTGACTGACTGATGAAAGTGAGGTTAAAGGTCAAACTCTACCTGCCCAGAGGCTTGACCTTCTGCTCTGGGGCTTCTGGATATCGAGGCTCGAGGTTCTGAACGCACCACATTCTGGTTGCTGTAATAGCTGACGCTGCTGTCTTGGTACCCGCTGTCTGAATACGAGGTCATGTGGGCTGAATGACCTCCTGACCCTGAAAAAACACAAAATAATTACAGCGCCACATCATCATAGATTTGTTAAATAGCATGGAAATGTGCCTTATGCTTTTATGTTGCTCCTTGAACAATCTGCTGTCCTACTTTCTGCTGTAGGATGAGAAGGAGGATGAGGAGGTGGAGGAGGAGGAAGCATGTGGGGGATATTTTTATACTCTGAGACCTCTCCAACTGTATGGAATACAAATAAGCCCAAAGGCAATTTGTTTTAGCATTTCAGATTGTGCATATTTACCGAAGTGGGAATTAACCGCAGAACGTCGGAGGTTAATCGGCTTTCAGAATCATAAATACGAGCCGTGGTTCTGAGACAATTCCTATAAATTATTTAAAAGTGTGGAGAAAAAGGAAACAAACACAGGGCTCAAATCAGCATTTACAGCCACACCAGCTGCTCCGCTGCTCCGCTCCATCACCCGCCCAACTTTGGCGGTTTAACACATGCTGCCAGGATGGAAGCAAAGTGTCAAACGCTCCAGTGAAGGTTCCTACTGTCCAACAGGGAGCCGCTGCAGCTGCAACGCAGAGCTGCAGGTGTGGAAGTTTCACGGCTAAAAATAAAACGTGAGGAGCAGAGAGGAGGCAAACTTTAGTTTCTGGGTGTTTTAGTGATCCAGAAAAAGCTAGAATTGTTCTTCATTTAGGTTAAACATGCAGAAACATTAATTAATTATGTGATGTTACTGATTAAATTATGAACAAATGCCTTTTTGACCAAAATACAGAGGGCTTATTTTGTAAACACAGCAGATGCACTCAAAACTTTACTGCAGCAAGAGCCGTTAAACGCTCACTGGTTACCATGGTAACCTGCATTTATCTTGATGTTTTAGCATGTTATCAGCAAACTACAACTGTTTACAACATCGTGATAAAATAAATTATGCTACTAAACTGACATGAGTGAATGAGGTGCATCTCATTAAGCATTAAATGCAGGTGTGAGAGAAAATGGCCCAAACGTCGGATTTTACTAACTAGTGATATTAAAGCAGTTTGATATGATATGTCGAGTTCCTCTATAAATAATATAAGACAAACATATGTATATATTTTATAGTTTAAACTTCATGAGGAAGTCTATTACATTGCTCTGGGGACGCAATGAAATTGAGCATGTTGGCCACCAAAAAGGTGTGTAAAGAACAATATAATATTTAAAAGACATTTCATTTACATTTGAATAATGGCAAACATATAAATATATAATTAAAATACTTTGTTGTAAATATTTGGCACATTTTACAAAAAATAATTGTAAGCAAAACATGGGGACATGGAATGTTGCCGCAAAAAAAGAATCACCCATACATGTTGAGTAATAAGGGAACCGGAAATGGGTTTCCCTAAACTGTAAGTTTTTATTGTTTAAAAAGGGAATTCATATTTATTGTGCAAAGGACAAATAAGATCATTTCTTCCTAGTTTGGTCACTATTAGAGGGAAATGAAAATGTAGCTGCAGGTGATAAATAAAGAAAATAAAACCTCTGATAACTGCAGACGCCACAAAGCTGCGTTCAGGAGCTGCGCCGGGCAAAGAGAAACGATCTGCGCTAGCTGCAAGTTGTACATTATTTTATTAGCCTAATTGTAAATAGCTTAAATAGTTAGATTAATGTATTCTTGCATGCATTCTGAACGACATGCACAACGTGATGTTAGCTGATAATCCCTCTACATGTTTTACTACCAACGGAGCCTGTTGGTTGGGCAGCAGAGAGGAAGGGGGCGGAGCCTCCATCAGGCAGCCATGTTTTCCTTCAAACATTTTCAGACTTGTTTTCAAGCATTTATAAGTCGTCACTATCTGAGTTTCCATTACAAATAAGTGAAAAACTTTGTTGATCTTCAGCTAATGTAAAAAAAAAAAAAAGTTTGTTAACATAAGTCTTTTCCACCAGTAGTAACATCCAGTTGTTGATCACGACTCATGAAATGCGACTAAGTGTTTTAACGTTTACCAAATTAACTTTAGAGTTGTTGGAGGTTTTTTTTGTAATTTCTCTGTGGATTTAATGAGACATCCACTTCTAGAAAGACTTCCAACTCTTTTAAACATTTTAAACTTTTGTTCAGACCAAGCTGCAGCCTCCAGAGCAGCAAACCGCTAAACCTGCTGATTTTTTCCAATTAAATCCTACAGAAACAGCAAAATATTACAAACATTTTTTCTCACTTTTAAAGCACAAAGATGCTGTATTGTCAAAAACTACTTCAGTCTTCAAGAAGGTTTCACTGTAATCTGGAAACAATCTGCTCTGCTGTCTGAAACGTCAGCGTCCCCTCTGCGTGTTTCATGGATGTGGACGGACCCTCACTGTCATGCAGGGAGGCGCGGTCCCCTTCAGGCAGGTACAGTCCTTCCTCCACCTCCAGGTGGCGCCCTGGTGCCTCTGCAGCCACACCCTGAGACTCTCCACCTGTCACACAACATCCCTGTGAGCCAAACGTCCATCTCTGGATTCAAATGCTCGAGAGGAGGGAAGATGCTAAACACTCACAAAGCCGTCTTAAAGTCAAACAAGCGGCAAAATTTTTCATTTAGGGTTTTATATAACTGATTATCAGCTTTGCAGGAGATGCATAATGTGAATAATAGCGCTGACATCTGAGGAGAAGGATCTTTGACAGAATAGTAAATGGGTTCAATTCAAAGCTCACGGTCAGAGTCGGAAATATTGTTTTGTTTTGCTTGACCGGCTGGTGCTGCGTGCCAGCAACCCTCAGTCCTCTGGAGGCTATGAAGCGTTCTCATCTGGAAAAACGATGCCGCCCGGGTGGCAAATTTATAAAGATTTGATCCTATCTGAAGCTGCAGGATTAGGAAAATACAGGAAGCCTCAAGCTAAACTTCAGATTGAAGGTTACAGAAGCAAACTGCAAACAACATATCAAGCTAAAAATAAGAAAGCATACCTGCAGATCTCCATGCATACGACTTCTCAGAAGAGCTTTGGTAACCGAGAAGAGGAGGAGGAAATGGAGGAGACAGGAGAGCAGAGGGCAAATTAGATCACAGAGGAATACTTAATGTTCAGTGAAACCAGGAGGGAGAAAGAAGATTCTGTTAACTAAAAAAAAACAATCACTTTACCCTTAAAAACAAAAAAACAAAAGGAAAATAAATGACGTTTTGAAAGCAACCCGTCCAAATCTGAATTGTTGAGAGTTTATCAGGGTTTCACATTTTATATAAAACTACCAGATGTCATTTTGGTTTGTGAAACAACCTTAAAACTTTACAGTAATTACAGTCTCAAAGCAGTTTTAAGTCGCTCCTTTCATGTCAAAAAGCCAAACTCAGAACTGAAGAGCCGCTCATCGTGTTTCTGGAGTCATTAAATAACATAAAACTGCAATAAACTCAAACCGGGCAGAGAAGTTTGAATTCATGGTGGAGTTTCTTCAAACTGGATCAAAGTTGTTAAAATATATGCAGCGCTGTGGAAAAGATGCAGATTTCTTCTGTTTCTACTTTTCTGTCACATTTCAATGTTTCAAATCCGTCAGAAAACTAATTTTAATATCAGATAAATATAACCTGGGTAAATACAACCAGCAGTTTTCAGGTGAGGGTTTCATTTATTCAGGTTTAAATCAATTGGCTTATTGATTCAAATAATCACTAAAATGGGGGAACAACCAGTTTTATTTTAAGGAGTTTTTCACAGTGGGTCAGATTGGTTTGGTCAGCTTTAATCAACATTAATAACAAATAATTTCTTATATTGTCTGATTATTAGATGCTTTTTATGTGATCAAAGCAAATAAACAGAAATCTGTAGCTGAGAACAAGTTTAACAGAAACAATGTAAGTGTCTAGACAACGCACAGAAATAAATTAATTCTGCATTTCTTAGATGAAATCATTTAAATCATCGTGACAAAAGAGAAACACAGACAGGATCTACCTGCTACTGTCTCCCGCTGGCGACTCAGCTCCCAGCATGCACTTCTCCAGCTGGCTCGCCACAATCTGCCGCTCCTCTTCCAGCTCCCGGGTCAGCCGCTCAAACTGGAGCTCCTGCAGCGAAACATGAACAGAACAATAACAAACCAACGTTTTCCATAACACAGCAGCTGCTTGTTTACCCCCATTTATCAATTTAACAAAATCAGCTTTTTGGACTCTGTGTTACTCCGTTAAAAGCTTTTCCTCACCACTATCAACCTTTTCAATGTTTTATCTATTTTTGACAAAAGAAATAGGATTTTGACACCAGCTGAACAGCTAGTGCTCCGCTTTTAAAGCAAAATAAACAATATATATGTAATGATAAGGAAGGAAGTGAGCCTGGCTGCTTCATGGTTTTTGCTAAACCACACATTGAGAGATTTAGAGGACGTTAAGGCTGTTATCTGGAACAGGAATCTGGACAGGAGCTGACTGAGCAGCTGTCACTAGGCAACCCACACAGGTATGTGCTGTCACTTGTTTTCATTTTATGATATGAGTTTCCATTTATCTATTGGCTGCAAGCGTGCTGATAGCATGCTAGCTAGTAAACATGGTTCTGTGTAATATGCATCGGTTTGTGTTTAGTCACACTACTTTACTTTAATGTTTTCTTTATTTCAGGCTTTCTGAAACTAAACTTAGTCTCAACATTTGCATATATGTTGTTCTTAAACGACGGCCTGGTCACATGGAGCAGGACATGAAGAAGCAGATCTGGGTTTTTGGGGCCTCATAGTTTTCTGTGGTGGTGAAGAAAAGGCAAAACTACACGGAAAATCTCTTAATTTGTTAGTGAAACTTGGATCTTTGACGCAAGCAGCTAAAATCTTAGAATCATCTTAGAAATAAGACCAGAAGCTCAATAATCAATTAAGTTTTTGGGACTAATTATTCAAAACGACCTGGCTTTATGTAACACAGAGCTTCCAAATTAAATGTAATAACTGGCTGTTCCATCTTTGGAGGCAACAAATGCCATCAAACGTTCTCAACACCAGGCAGGGAGTGTTTTAAATCGACGTGGAGGAATGTTGACCCGCTCTTCCTTGCAGAACTGGATGGTTTTCAATCATCAATGGCCTCTTTAAGGTCATGCAACAGTCCACCCATCCGTCACAGTCTTTTACATCATAATCCCTTTTAAACTACAAAAGACTTTTAAATCCACACTGCCAGCTTTTCATCTATTTCCTTTTTGTTTTTGGGTCAGCCATGAACGAGCTTTTCTCTCATTTATTTCACGGCGTCCTAAAGCCAGTGAGCTGCTGCTGCTGCTGCTGCTGCTGCTGCTGCTGCTGCTGCTGCTGATGAAAATAGCAAAGCTGGCCTGATTTCAGAAGCAGCGAATCCGTTTCTCTGTGCAAAAACCAACTCCAAGAGTTTAGCAACTTTCTTTCAAACACCTGAACAGCAGAGTGGATGCATTATCATCTTAACTCTAACAGCATGAAACATCAATAATCTCAAGAAGGAGGCTGAACACTCAGGAGTAATTTTGCATTTTTAATCAGTGTTGATTCTCTGAAGCAGCTGATCCTCGCTAATTGGACAGATGTTTGTGGACTCTGAGCTCTCGACGCTCGCAGTCGGCTGCTGTAATCTGCTGCAAAATGTTGTCCTGATGACAAATTGACTTTCATTGAAGATTTTTTTTTTTTCCAGTTTTAGTCGTGTTTATGAAATGCAATCTGCATTTTGTAACAGCATTCATGCATCGTTTCGACTCATTAATGTACAGCAGAGCTATTTTAGCTTTCTTGAAATGTGCAGCTGCAAGATTCAAAGCAATTATATTTTTCTCAGGTAATCATGTGGTATTTCTGTTTTTTGTTTTGTTGTTTTTTGCATGGCGCTTTAATACAATGTCAAGGTGGAAAGAAATCAGAAGTGACCTTAAAAACCAAGCAACTCACAGCCTATTTATTTGTGAAGAACTATAAAGTCATTTTTAAACAATTTGATTTCCATCCTTCCACCACAATAAAGATTATTCAAGAGTGAAAAACATTTAGGAGCGCTACGTTAATAAGTTAAATATCGATTTTGTCTTTCCTGCAAGCAAGAAGCTGTGCAATCTCATTAAAAGGGCTTTAAACTAGATGAATGGTGATGGAAATTTTATAGCAGCTTTAGTAAAAATAAAAAAAAACTCAGTACACCTCGATACAGCAGACTAACTTCTGGGGATAAAACTGAGAGAAGCAGAAACAAACAAAGATTCTGTGATGGTCTAGTTCAGGAGTTCAAATCTAGGTCAACATCACAGATTTTGTGGAGCTAATTTCAAAAATTTGCAAGGAATTTTGCAACAAAAGCGCTTACGTATGAAGATAAATGTAAAGCTGAGTAAGAAATGTGGGCGTTAGCATCACTTAAACCATCTGTAGAAAATTTGCAGTAAACTCACAGTTATGCCTTAGTGCAAAAACACTGCAGCTGATCCGTCGATTTGCCATAAATATCTGAAATCATGGAATCACCATGAAACTGTTTTTAAAAGTCCTTGTTATTATAAATGGGTTTTGCTGTTTGTAAAGCTAAATATGAGTTTAGAAAGAAAACAATATGTAAAATCTACTTTTTTGAGCTTTGTATTATGTTTATTATTTCTTCAATGAAACAAAACTGGAGTGTTGCTTTGACTCTGTCATGCATCCTCTAATCTCCATGGCAACCATTCAGCTGTGCAGAACGCCTGGGTGAACCTAGACCCGCCTATCGAGGCATAGCTCTTCTTGAGAGCTGCAGTTTCCTAGCTTCCACCTCACAGACCATTCCTCCCCCACTCAGCTCCTTCAGACTAGCCAGCAGCAATTAGCAAACACCTGCTGGTGCTGCGCATTTGCTGAGCTCATTAAATGAGCTACTTCTCAGTGAAATGCTGCTAAAAACATTGCTAAAGGGTTAATTCAGGAGCGATGTTGTGATGACTTCCTGAAGGCGGAAAGAGTTTCTGAAAGAGCAGGAGTTTTTAAAGAGACAGAGGGCCAATTCGAAGAAGTTAAATTACAAAGTCAAATTTCTTTAAGTCATATTTGACATATATGGCATTTTTATAACAACTCCAGGTAACATAGTTACTTGATTCTGCTATAAAATGGCAGTCTGTAATTAATACAAACCCTTTAAATAAGCCTTGCTGTTAGCTGGAAGTGTCTGTTTTAAAAGGATTCTCATTCCCAGTAAATCCACCAGAAACTCTTACTTGTTGCTGCCTGGTGTCTCATTGTTGTGATCAATCAATAATCAAAACGTTCAACATGATGTCCGCTGCACACAGAAGATGTTGCCCAGATCGTAAACAGAGCTGGTGACTGTGTGACTGGACCAGTAAAAAGCTACACACCAGGAAACAACTGTGGGAGCTTAAAGCCTGCAGCTTATTGTCACAGCACTGCTGCTGACTGGGCCTTCCTGCTTTCCTTACATCACCCCGAAGCTTTGCAGAGACAGGACAACAGCACACAGGCCTGCTTGTGTAGCCTGGCTGGGTTACGGCACAGCATCAGCCCAACATAAAGCCGTGCCAGGCGACTCCTCGCACCAGCTGAGGGGCTCTCACGGACGATCCGACACAGCTGATTGTGAGCCGTCACAGCCTGTTTTTCCGCCCCGTTATCAAGTCGCACCAACCACAGACCTCTGCCGTTTGCTGTGTCTAATCTTGGCCCAGCAGTTCGGTTTATCCACGCCGCATCTATGATATCCGTGAAATGTTCGGCCTACTTCTCTGGCTGCTGCAAACTCCATCGCTAAGGCTTTGTGACAAAGCCAGCTGGAACATTTTCAGGCTCATTTTGCTGCAGTGGCAGATAATTTCCACGAGCATCTTATCGTGATGAAACGGGTGATAAAGGAAGAGAAGAACGCTTCCACATCTCGCACCGTCCAGTTTCCCAATCCAGAAAATTCTTATGTAGATAGAAAAATGTAAATACAAAATAAAATGAAAAGAAATGGATGGATGGATGGATGGATGGATGAATGGATGGATGGATGGATGGATGGATGGATGGATGGATGGATGGATGGATGGATGGATGGATGGATGGACATATTGTCTCACTAAGATAAAACAGTCTGGAATCAATATTTTCAATAGTGTTTTTCCAGGTATTTCCATGTTTTTCCAGGTATTTCCATGTTTTCCATGCTGCCATCCAGTAACTGGATGAAATCCTGAGAGTACCATCGGAGGCAGCAGCTTCATCAGCAGACCTCTGCTCTGTTTACCCTCCTCTTGTTTTCCCATCGTCCCGCTCTGCACGCCTCCACATGTGACCCTCCGATGCATTAAACCACTTCCTGTCTCTTCACGGGCAGAAAGGGCCGCGTCTGACTAAAAGCAACAAGTACACTCCTCCTCTAATGGCGGAGACGCGTCAGTAAGTGGATGAGGCAGGTGGAGGCGGACCCGCATCTGCACGAACATCACAGAGTGACGGCACAGTGTAGCAAGATGGAGGATCCAAGAAATCTTCTCAGACCTTGGAGAAACGACTCCAAATGACCAAATTACCAGCATCTGTGCTGGTAATTTGCTGCGACATGGAGCGTGCTTTCTTGGCTCCATTCATTGAAACACGGCCCAGGATGAGAAGCGCTGAAGTGGCTCGGTTGTTGTGTTTTTGTTGAGCGCCTCATACATCTTGTGTGTGTTTTTTGATGAGCATGCATGTTCTGTCTCAGCAGCGCCATGCATCACGTTCATCTGGGATCTGGCCTGCAGAGCAACAGCCTGCCGCTGTCAGCTCAGGGACAGAAAACAATCCCTGCAAACAGCCGAGGCGGGCAGTGCCTCCATTCTTACACAATCTGGGAAAGTATGGACTCCAGTTCATCTGCAAAGTGCATTGAGATTACAAATTATAAATTTAACAGAAGAAATCCAAACTGATCTGAACTGAGGTAGATTGGATTTAACTAAACTGATGTAAAATGAACTGAAATGATCAGAACTAATTGGCTTGAACTGAACAGATCTAACCCACAGTAAACTGAACTGGACTGAATTTAATTCTGAATAAGCTGGCTCTAGTTCTCTTATAAAGTAAATTGAGATTACATTTGTTGTGAATCAGCGCTCCATATATAAACCAAATGAAAACAAATTGATGCACTCTGAATAAAATTAACATAAAGTGAATTTAACTGATTAAAATAACTTATTTTAATCAAACTGAATTGAAACTAACTGAACTGCTGAAGAACTGGATTGATTGAAGTGAATTGGACAGGATATATTTTCACAGTAGTAAACATTCCTCTTTGTAAGTTGAGTTCAGCTGCCAGCAAAGTCCAAAACGTTCTGATTGGATGTATTTTTTCAGATCCCTGCACCCTTTCACAACCCGATTCAGACACGATTCTCGTCTTTCATTTAGCGGAAACGGCTGCAGGCTGTTACCCCAACATCAGATCGATCCCTCTGTTTGCTGAAGAAGTGACAAAATCAAACTGTGGCCCCGACACCTCGGTGGAGTCTCACGTTTCAGAGTCGGCCCGTTTGATATTTCCCTGCTCACATCCATCACTCTCTCACTTTTAATGGGTTAAACGGGAGCAAAGTGGAAAAGCATCAGGCCCTGAACACAATAGAAGGCAATAACTGATGCGCTCCATTTAGCTCGTCTAATTTGACATTTCTGTGGAGGAACTGCAGGCGGAAGATTTGACGCTTCAGCAGCACCGACGCAGGGAGACGTAAAGCAACTTTGTGTTATTTTCTCTTCCCAGGCTGTTCAGCTGCCTGAACCAAGTCACACGATGAAACGTTTGGCCTCGAGGAACTCCGGGCTTTTCGCCGTAGCCATGTTGGCTTTATGAAGGTGGGATTTTCTGCTTCGCATCTGTACATTTCATCTTCTAACCAGAGAAATCTAATAGAAATGTGTCTCAGTTTGGACAAGTTCTCGGGGAAAATACACAATACAGAACGCTGTTGTCATTATGTCCTGATCCCCTGAAAGGTTTTAACAGTTTTCCCTCATAAAACAATCTAACTGGATGTATCATTTTAGATTTTAAGTGTCATTTTTGTTCTTGATTGGAAATCAATCGAGGCTGTGGTAAAAATATACCACAGGGAAATAATTAAACACTTTTAAATGCAGGTTTGTAAACAGTTTTCAGTTCAGTGCATGTTTTTAAGGCTGAAATAATTAATAAGGGATTAATCAATTAAAATGGAGTATACAGACTCAAAAAAGTGAGTTGTAAATAAGCCAAAACTGTACAAATATTTATACATTCTGCATTTAAGATTAAGAAGAAAAAAAAACCTTCTTCTGTAAATATGTTCTACTCAAAACTTCTCAAGTGTCAGTTTTAGCTTCAGCTGGTTCAAATCCGATAAAAAATTGTGAAGCCACTTTTGTAACCTTTTAAATTTGCAGCATTTTTTCCTTTGCATCCATTCGCAGTATTTTGCTTTTGAATTTGGTTTCTTGTTTGTAGGTTTTGCTTCTTTTTTTCTGAGGTTGCAGCATTTTTCATTTCCGCATTTTTTTCTGTTGCATTTGTTTCTTTCTTTGTTGGAGTATTTTGGAGTTAATGTGTTTCATGCGCGTTCGCACGTCGGCCACCATCATTTTCTTAAGTGTTGATGCTAAATCTGTCCAATAAATCCCTTAATCGCATGACAAATAAAAACAAGCTCAGTCATTTTATTTACACAATTCTTTATTTTTCTTATGTTTCTCTCTTTTTCTGCCAAAGACTGATGACAAAAATCTCCAGACTGGTGCTCTGGTCAGAGTCTCCAGTATCCATTTTATTTGTTTTACTTATTTATATCTAAAATGTCTTACAGTTCGAGAGTTAGAAGTTCATTAGAAATGAAAGTGTAGTTATCGTTTCAGAGGGTGAACTTGCATTATTATCCCATTACTATGATATTCTAACTTCTACAACAATTTATTGTTGAGCAAAATTGATCATCATGACAAGCCCTCTTCAAGTTTGACTTCAATTGTCTTTGGAAAAAAATACCGCAGACTACGAGCAATGGAGTCAGTAAGTGTTTTGGCAAATGTTTCACAACACAAGCATCCTTTACCCAAGAAAACAGGACATTAAGCAATCTACCAGATCTATTGATATACGTTCTCTGACTGGAGATCAATCAGAACCGACAGAAGTGCCCTTGACTTAACCCGTCTGCACTCAGATCGTTTATTCCACTCTGCAACATTGGATCAAATTTCACCTGCTCAGCAGAAGCAGTGACATGCCTGCATGTCATGCCTAAGACGAAATGAGCAAAATAAAGTTTTAGTTTCTAGATCTACAGTTTCTACCTGCAGAGCGATGCATGTGCAGAAAGTGTTTGCTCTTGACGAACATGAAGCCTCTTCCTGAGATTTAGGCACAATCTGCAGCCCTCCGAAAAACTGCAGATTAAACATCGGATCCGAGTCTCTTTTCTTAGACATCATAAGCCTTTAAATAGCAGAGCGCCTGATTCAGAGCAGCACGCCCAGGGACTGAGCAGAGAACATGGCTACTGTCCAGGTATAATTAAGAGGAGGAGAACAGAAAGACTCCCATGCTGACGGGATATAAATCAGCATTAAACATAACAGCAGGGACAGCGAGACAGAAGGAGGCTGTCCTCTAAGGTTCGTATTGTTGTTTTCCTGCAGATATGAGGCATTTCAGCGAGCTTCAGCCACAAAAAACAACGGAAAAAAAGTTTGTCATTTAACTATACAACAGGGAAGCAAAAGCAAAGAATATAAAACAGTAGCATGACGTCACTGTTCCTTTAAATTCCTGCTGGCAAACAACGAATATCTTCTTCTGATCTGGTGCAATCTGCATCTTTCTTAGCTTTTCATTTCATGCCATATGCGGGGTTTTCTGCACCGCTACGTCCTTTTCTCGGTGCTGAATTAAGGAAGTGCAGCAGACGAAATTATTAATGAGGCTTTTAAAAGAATTTAAGGTGCAGATTCGTGTGACTCAGCACCGCAATTCATTTACACTTCATCCTCATCTGGAGATAATCCCTCGGATTTACAGCGTAAATTTGGGCGACTCAGGTCACAACCACAGCTAAAAACTGCTTAGAACTTGTATGGAGCTCAAAAAAACAAGACAAGGCTGAACTCTGACCCAGAAAAGAAGTAAAATGACTCAAATTTTACTCAACTTGGCATTTCTGAGGCGTTTTCTTTGAGTCACCAATCTGAATGTGCAGTGAAACTGATGTGAGCGCATATACCTTTGTAAACAAACAATAGTGTGTATTGATGAGTTTTTATATCTCACACTCAATCACTTTTGATGTCTGAAGTTCCTGATCGTCATGTATGGAACACAAAAAAGCCAAAAAGTTGTGAAATGTCATGTTTTTCATATGCAAAGGAAGATGTGAATACGGAAGCGAATGTAGATAAACCACACCACCGGCAAAAAACAGACAATGTTTTCATCCAATCAGCATGTTCCTTAGATAAAACACAACCAATAACCAATAACCAATAACACTTACCAATGGGCATTATTGGTGATACATTTCTTATCATGACTAGAATTTTGATTTATTGTTTTCACAACAAATTCCAATTAATGATGTTTAAAACCCAGCAAAACTGTCTGAATTGCTATTTTTTTCACTATTTTCTCCAATGAGGTCAATAAATATCAATAAATTTGAAAACATGATTAATTGCAGTCAATGTGTGCAGCTTAGTGAAACAAATCTTTATGTGACTGGCCTCCTAAAACAAACAGGAATGTTTTTCAAAAGCAGTATTTGTGTTTTTTTATTACTACATCCATTCAAAAGCATTAAATAGTTTGTATCATGACTTTTATCAAATAAAACTCTAAGTCCATATTGCCCACCACTACCAGGAAGTGAAAGAAATTACAAAACCGTAGGATTTAAGACAAACACAACATAGTACAGTTTAATTTTGTAGCCTAATAACTTTAAGTTGAGCATGTGAGGTAAGATTTCTACGTTTCTTGAGTTATTATGATGTGATCCTGAGCTACACTGCACAAAAAGGATCAGAATAACCAAAAAACATCCTCAATGTGATGGAAAATCTCCTGTAGCAACCACAGATTCATCAAAATCCTGACAAATTTTCATCCTAAAGTGAAAAATATGAGCAAAGTCACAGCATAAAACTGCCAAGCCGGTGTTTGCATTCAAAAGTCAGGAAGAAATGAGTGACAGCAGCATCTAACCTGCTCTTTAACAGAAGCCAGGAGGTTGGTGGTGGTTGTTGTGGCGGCGCTGGACTCCGACTGGAGGCCTTGGCGGCTTGGACCTTCTCTGACCACCATGGGCCCTTCCCCTTCTGCGTCGCCTTCCTCCATATCCCCCACAGATCCGGCTGGCTGCTGCACGCTCCCTCTCTGACCCTGCAGGACGGTCAGGATGTGGGTTAATGCACAGGAAATCACGGTAGTATAATTTTAAGGAACCACTGTGCTTCAGTTGCAGGGATTAAGCTTCTGAGATGTTGCAATATCCCAGAATTCATGATATTCCTGCAACAAATTCCCCTCTTATGGTGTGATTGTGCTTTTTTTTAATCCCTCAAGAGACACAAAGAGACAAAAGATGATTATTCTATTTTCCCCTATGCATGTTTTTCCATCTCTAATCTTTAACCCGTCATTTGTGCATGCAGGTATAGCTTTCGCCACACACAGAGGAGCTGCACACACACACATGCACACACACACACACAGAGAGCTGCAGGCTGCATCCTTCCTCTCTGTGTGTGTTTTACGTCTCAACACACACCAGTGCTGCCTACATGTATTATCAGGTGTGCATGCACGATGCATGGGGTTGCATGCATCTCCCGGTCAACCTTGCATCCTCCATCACTCATTCACCATCCGGGCAGCCAAGGACGAGGTCACACCGACTCAGAGCGCCGGAGCCCGGGCAGCCAGCAGAGCTGCTCGCCCGCCGCTGAGCGCGACTCACCGGCCAGATGTTGCTGTTAGAAGCAGGCCACAGCTGGCTCAGTCCGCTCCCATCCTCCGTGACAGCTACTCCATTCCCCAACGCGCCGACGTCACAAACAAACAAACAGACAGCCGCGTGCACGTCCTCGCGCTCGTCGTGCAATTATAATTTTCCCCTTTTTTTTTTTTTTTTTTTTTTGGTTTGTCTTCCAATCAATCCCCGCGTGCAAAGAGGAGTGGAGGAGTTAAACGCGCGCGTCCATCCCTGGCGTCAAGGCTGCACCCAGCCACGAGCGCCGATTAACAGCGGCGTGACGTCACCATGCGGCTATGGATTATTTCCGATCGACGGATCGATGAGGAGCCGCGCGTCTCTGTGGCCGCGGCAGGAGTCGTGCGGCAGCGCGGCAGCTCTTCGCGACGAGAGGAAGGATGCAGCCTGCAGCGACCAGTGTGTGTGTGTGTTTTACTGTGATACGACTCCACACACACACACACACACACACACACAGCCCAGTGCTGGTCACAGAGATGTTTATGGGATTCCCAGTTAACAGCTCAGGTTATCAGGTTCATCATACAGAACTCCAATATTGTCAAAACTGCAAATTAATCCAACATTTATCATTATTTAAAACTATATTTTATGGTGGGGGAAATCAATGAAAAGGTATTTTTCTAGTCAATTGTTTACACTATTCTTGTATAAAACTGGTTGAATTAATGTAAATGCAAAAAACTACAATACATTTTAGACACTTTGAATTGAAATGGAGGAAAAAAAGACTGACTGGGTGGAAAGATGGACGCCTGACTTTTCAATACTCAGTAGTGACATTTTTTCATTAGCGTTACTTTATTCAACTATTTCTTGTTTTATTCATTTTGTTTCTTATTAATAAAATCAAACACCCAGTATAACGCCTCTAGTTTAGTGGGTATTGTAAATAATTATTCAAATAAATGTATTATAGATGAATATTCTAACTTTAATATTGGCAGAACAACTAATATCCATCCATGTGTGATTAATCTCAACATGTTTTACTTAATAAACTGACTTCAATAATATTCACATTTATTGAATAGGTCTCTAAGTAAACATTTTAAACTTTTATGAGACATTAAATATGCTACAAGTGTGCATATGGTGCTTTGATTTTGGAGGAAAAGTTGCTTCTAAGCTAATATTGCTGACGTCTTTCCTCCCTGGCCTGGATTTCAGGAACTGAAGTTATTAGTTTTTAGTTTCATCTTTCTTTAATAAACAAACTGAGCGTGAAGCCAGTTTATATTAAGAAAAGGAAAAACACCACCACACATGAACATGCACATGCTCATTTATTGAAGTGACAATTAATACTGTGAGAGCAAAGTTACACACTGAGAAGTGACGGGGAACTTCCCTTCATTTAAAACCTTCTTCCGTCTCAGTTGGCATATTTGCATTTTTCCAAACCACCTTAAGATTTGACAAGAACAAGCGAAAAGAGATTTTAAGCCACTAAAGGTTCCTACTGTTTCTTTGTAAACTGAAAAACACGACAGAACGCTGTTTACCTGAATATTTAACAGTTCATAAATAATAAACCCGTACTTCAAAAGGAAAGATCAGAACATGATACATTCTCCGTTCCTCACACTGCAAAGTAAAACCCAGTGTCAACATTTAACACTTACAGATAAAATATATTTAGCAGTAAAAGCTCAACATTTCTTGTAGGGGTTTCTGTTTCTGCGACTAATTAGTTGGATTTATTCCATTTTTAAGGATCAGGATGTAACTCCCAGCTCAGTTATGCCTTAAAATGACAACTATAAGGTGACTGAAGGCATTTATAAAGCGAGACGTCCTGGCAGTCAAAGAAATGGGACAAAAAGAGGAGGAACAGCAGATCTCTGTTGTCTGCTGCAGCACTTTGAGATCCAGGAACATTTCAGCCCGTTCCTAATTGCTTTGCTCACTCCTCTGCGCTGCTGATTTGAAGGATTCGTCTCAAAGAGAAGCAGAAACGACAAGATGTCAAGATTTCTTGAAGCCGCATAGCAATTTTAAACCTTTTAAGACGATTTTACTGTAGATTTAGAGATTTTTCAGACAAGGAATGCAAAAAAAAAAAAAAAAAAAAAAAGCTTCAAAATTCAAGTGTCTTTAGTTAAAATCCTACAGCACATCTACGTTTAGTCGTGGCTAAAGGGGAATGTTGTGATTTCACAGCGAAACAAGCTTGGCACTTTTGCACTAAAGCAGCTAAAGCCTGTTGCTTCAGCTTCGTCTGATTTATTCCTACTATTCTGGCAGGTAAACACAGCAGTGAGGCCATACAATTATTAATTTAGGAAGCTTAAAAACCGAATAATTAGTACGATCAAAGGAAAGAAAGAAATAAAAGCATCTGGCTCCTTTTTACCCAAACAAACCTCAGCGACTCTGGCCGTCAGTTTTCACTTCGTCATGTGATCGCAGCTGCGGGGTTGCCGTCTCGACAGATGATCGTACGCGTCGCCTCGGCCGAAAAAAAAAAAACACGCCAAGCCGAGCAAATAATACTTCACGTCACTGGAACCACGAATCATCAGCACAAACATTTAAACGTCACCAAGTCGATCTTCATACGTCCAGGGCGGGAAGCGAACAGCAACGAGGCTCAGAGGTAAAAACCGGCAGCTGTTGGATTCCAGCCCTGCTTTCAAATCGAGCACAGAAACAAAACTCAAAAAGTCACCAACACCGACTACGCTACTCAGAAACGCACCTTTCTTCTTCTTCTCCTTCTTTCTATACAAATTAAAACAATAAATAATAAAGACAGTACCTTTGCATAAACATGAGTACAAAACCTAACAGTCAGTGGATTTACAATAAACATGACTAAAACGTAAGAGGGTGCAGAGGTGTGTTTGCACCGTATCGGGGGGAAAAGAACCTTAAAGAACAGCCCCATTGTTCCTGCTAAGCAGAACCTGAGCAAACTAATCCAGGTCGTCCACATCCTCCGTCATGACGGTGCTGGTCTGTTCTGACGTCACGCCTGCAGGTCAAACACAGAAAACAACAAATCTAAACCGTGGAAGCAACAGCAGCAGCTTCAGCAACACGTTAGTCATTTATTCAGGTGTTTTCACACATGTTTAGTAACATTAATTGAACGATTTATGGTCTAATATTTAGTGTTTGTCTATTGCGGGTCTCTTCATGATAGATCAGGAAATTACTGACTTTTTTCAGGCTGTAATTCCATTCTTGTTGATGCTTTTAGCATTAAAAGCTACAGAAATATGAACAAACTCATTTTATCACAATGAGATAAAACCACGATTGTGTTTGTACGTCAAAAACTCACTAGCTAATAAGTTTGTCTTATTTTAAGATAAAGACTTTGAGCTTGTTTATTGTTATTTTTTTCTTATTTTGAAGTAGAGACCCTTAATGTTTTGTCGTGATAACAAGACTTTGGATTTTTTAGTTTTTTTTATAATCACAAAACTTCAGGATAAATGTTAATGAAGCATTTTGTCATCATTACATTCGCTATTTCAACGAGAGCTCAGGTTTGCTTTGCATCAGGATTTTTATTATCTCCTCATATTGAGATAAATATCTTGAGTTCATTTTATAATAATAAACTTTTTTTTATCACATTTGGAAGGAATTTCTTTTTCACTTTAGTTAATTCATCACTGAACTTTTCTCTGTCATGTTTCATTATCTCTCACTAAGCTGCAAGATTTCCATCTTTTTGTCACAAAGACAAATATCTTATCTTGTGACGAGATAAAGAGACCCTGAGCTTGTTTTGTCAAAACTATTCCATTATCTTCCTTTACAAATATAAGACTGAGCTTGATTTGTTTGACTCCAACAACTTTTAGTGGACAATTCAGTTTTTAGGGATTCCTTCTACCCCACTTCAGATTTTATTTCTTGCTAAACTATAAAAATGTTTGTACTTGAAGTATCGTCGTCGTTTCCAGACTTCTTCTTCTCCTCCATGTAGCCGTGACTGAGCAGCTTGGACATGCTGACCGGAGGAGCTTTCTTATCGTAGGATCTGAGGAGGAGAGCGTCACGTTATCGAACCTCTAAAACCTTCCAAATAAATCAAGTTTATATCAGTAAATGCGAGAGAGGAATAAGTTCTTACATTCTCTTATACTTGTTGGTCATGGACAGACCCTCCATAGGCACAGCTGCATCATCTGGAGACATCTGCAGATTGAAACATCATCCAGAGTCACAGTTATATAAGCAGCAACAGCCTGACTGATGGCTGCAGAACTACAGGGACTCACCAAGTTACCAAACATGGAGAAATGAGCGGCTGGGGAAAATATCAGGGAAGCAGAGCAGAGAATGAAATAAAGAGGAAAACTTAAGGAAAAAAAAAAAAACTGCCATGCTGTTAAAAATTAAACCAACCAGAACATTTTCAAATGATGATTTATCTGTTAGTTTTAACCCAGAAACTCAGCAACCTGCAAAAGTATTCACACTCCCTGAACCGTTTCACATTTTTCCAAACTGCAGCCTGAATGTATTTTACTGGGATTTTATGCAGCAGAGCAGTAACTTCCTATTAAAGTGACCTCTGAATGCACCACACTATTCAGTTTTTTCTTTGTAACTAAACCATACGTCACGTTTCTTCCACATAAAGTCCCAATAAATACAGCAAAACCTGTGGTTGCAGTGTGAAAAACGTCAAGTGTGTGTGAATACTTTTGCACATCGCTGTAATCCAGGTTTCCCAGATTAGAACCAGCTGGAATATTGGAGAGAACTGCAATCACGGAGCCAACGTTTCCCCCTCCAAATTCCCAGGAAACAACAAAGTCCCTCCGGAGAATTAAATCTTGAAGCAATTTCCAAACGCAGGGATGAAAAACGAAGGTGTAAAATGAAGGAAAGTTGTGATAAAAACTAAAATAATGGCAATAACAAAAGATGGAGTGGCGTCTGCGTGGCATGAATGCTGGGGAGTGACTAGTTCGGTCCATTCACCTTCTCTTTACCATGGGAAAAACTATCAGTCTCTCTTTCCCAGGAGGAATTGTTATCAGTGCCAAAGGGAGCAGCCAGAAGCCGCCTGCCCGCCTTCATCTGGCTGTCAGGAGACGAGGCTTCGCTCCCGCTGAAAGCACAAAACCACGATGACATTCCATGTGAAAGTTCTGGGAACATTTCGCCTGCAGCCGCAACACTTGGGTGACAGACAGGAACATTTCGTCTTCCTCAGCTCTGGACTCTTCCTACGAAAACGTTTTCCTCTAAATCAGCATCTGGCCCGTCTTACCTCTTTGACTCATCCCCTCCGAACCAGTTGGGCGGGTTGTAGGCTTTCTTCGGCGCGTCATCGTCATCAACGTCGTGACTCAATAGGCCTGCAGCAGGAAGGGAAACATTCCTGTTGAAGCTAAAACTCTGCAGGCAGTAATGACTCTCATCTCCGCTCTGAAAACACCAGGAGGGGTTTAAGTCACACCTAAAGCAGGTCAGTGACCAAATAATTACTGCAACCTCTCAGAGTCGGGAGCCGTTTCAAAACGATGAGCCAAATTGAGAATTCACAATGTTTTATTTGCATTTATTTCCCATTTTCTGCAATAAGAAATTATTGTAATAAATCATAATATTGTAGTTTCATAATATATCGATAATAACACAAGTTCACAAAGACCAATAAACTTTAATTTTGTAAGGAAATCTTAATATTATCACTACTATTTCATTTCCAATCATTTGTTTTTATTAGTTGTAGTAATTTAATTTATTTACCATCTTTTTTTTGTAATGTATTTTTCATATTCTGTATTTATTTTGTAGTTTCTTAAGACAATTTAAATACCAGAAACAAAACAAAAATAAAATTGACACTCAACCAAAACTATAAATAAAATTGATTATGTCTCTGTAAGCAAAATTTAACTTCAAAAAATATTAGAAATTATTGAGCTCTTTTTCATTTTTTTATGCGATTAATCAATTAATTGCTTACTGCGATAGGCTTAGTCATGAAGTTAAAATGCTTCCTAAACATGAACAGGAAGGCAAACAAACAGCTACTAAACCAAACAGTGAAAGATGATCTTTATGATCAACTTGGATTAACTCTTGAATTGATCAGCAATTTTAAATCTGTGGTTTATCGGCTCACCTTTGTGTCCTCCCTGCTTCGCCAGCTTGACGTAGTCCGAGTCGGTCTCAAATATCCCCACTCGCCGCCCGCTGATCCTCTCCACCTCCGCGCTATCGGTGGCGGTCTGGCAGAGGCCGGGAATCTGGGAGGTGGGTCCGGTCACGCCGCTGTTTGCAGCTCCAGGCTTTATGCCTGCAGAAAAACACAAGCATGGCCTTCATTAAGCTGAATAATAGTGGCTCTCAGATGAAAATAGTTTCGTTTTTCTACTGGTTTTAATGCCACAAATATGAAGAGGAAACAGTTTGCAAACTTTAGCCAGTCTCACCTCCGGGTTTGGTCCTTCGATGGTTGGGAACGGCAGCGCTCATTTTAGCTGACGACGAAAGAAAATCTGCAAACTAAATACAGACATTTTAAATTCACAACTGCCACAAGTCAAGGAAGAAAAAAAGCAACAACAAAAAAAAGAAACAAACTATAAAACACTTTTTAATTAAATGAATGAGCGACATTAGAGTTTAAATAAATCAATAAGAAAATGATTAAAACAGAATTATTATTATATTTTATCACTTCAGCTTCCTACTGTCCCCACATGGGGGCAGTATAAATTAAGCTGTCAGTTACAATTGAGAAACAGAAGATGCTTTCACTTGGATTCAACTTTAAACAGAAACAGTTATGATGCACGGCTCTAAAAAGGTCAGAGGTATTAGACGAAAGCTGAGATCTGAGTTATTAGTTTATTTTTTCATAGAAATGCAGAGATTCATGATGTATAAATCAAAGAAACATGGACGAATAGACAAATCGATGGATGGATAAATAAATGGACCAGATTCATGCAGATAAATATGTGCAATAGTTGCATGGATGAGAGGATGAACAAAATGATGCAAATGATTGGTTGGATGAGTAATAGATTATGATTAGATGGATGGATGAATGGATGAAGAGATTAAAGCAGATGGATGGATGACAACATGCATGCAAAAGGATAAACAGATGGATGCAGATGGATGGACGGATGAACAGATGCATGGAGATAAAATGTAAAATCTGGACATGGTGAGTAAATGTAAATGAGCAAATAGCGTTCAAGACTTACTCATTTACTACCGTCGGTTTTATTTCCAGAGTTTTACTTAAAATAGATTTTAAAACCCTAAAACGTTTATTTTTGCCGTAACATAATTTACATCACTAGGCTCAGGTTTCACCGCTAATGTGAGCAATAAATTACTGAGATAAGAGGCTAACAAAGCGTTGCTAACCGAGTTAGCCGCCTAGTTTCCACCGCTATCTCCATTTTTTTACAATGAAATTGTGATGCCTTTTTAATAAAGTGCTAATAATGGTTAATAAATAAGAAAATATAAATATTTCTTACTCTAATGTTGCTGTGTGCTTTTTTTGTATTTGATGAGTTGGGTTGCTGCAGGTAAAAGCCGATAGCTTCTTCTTTCCTCCTCACAGAGCTAACAGCTTCCTGTGGCACCTGCTGCTCGCTTCCTGTTCACAAATCAAAGATCGTGTATTTAAAACGACGCCTTACACTGTGTGAGTTTTCTTTCCGAAAGGACTGTACGTTTATGATGCATGAAAATGCGGTAAGAGTGAGAATTCTGTGCTACGCAACCTCTGTTGGATACATGGACAGACGATCTTTGTTCTGCGGTCAAATAAAGCATAGAAAAATATCAAATTTAAAGTTCAAAACTACTTTTCTGATCTCAATAGGGACGTTTCTAGAATGTTTTCAAGAGGAGATTCTTGAATGAATGAAACCCTAACACCCAAATGTGTTTAAAACAATCTCCAGATAAAGTGTAGTATAGATTTGATTTATTAGTTATGGTTTCAGATTTCAGTAATCTGTTATCCTAAACTAAATACTTATGTGAGTCTTCATATCTTGAATTGTAATGCCATTTTTAAGATTAATCAGTCTAAGTATTTATTTTTGCGCATATTCCTTAAAAATAATGAAATATTCCTTTAGCTTAGCATCAAATCTGAAGTTGTGACACTGAATTTTGGCAGCCATATTGTCTTGCAGTCTTTTTTACTATGACTATGGGAGGATGCCCACTACTTATTGACCAAAAATGTAAACAAACAATAGAAAACTTGTTCAAGGCACAACTAATAACCAACAACCATATTGTTTTGTTGGTATTTAGTTAAACCTAAGAAGCTCATCATGAGTCCAGATCCACTTAGGAAAAAACAAGTAAGAAACAGAATCAGGTTGTTCAGACTTTTCTAATGTACACATAAATAAATAGCTGAGATGAGATTTCACTTGGAGTATTTGAGGCTTTTTATTTAATTTAAACTACATAGTTTATTTAGATAATATTACAAGACTACAGGAAATGAAAATAAAACATATTGGGAAAAATTGTTAGCATTTAAAATAAATGTCATAGTGATTAAAACATTCAGTGCCTGAAAAAATAAAAATAACATTAAGAATTTACACCAACCTAAACAAAAAACTAAATTTCTTTTGGTTGACAAATAATTGAGAATAATAGACTTTTAATTCTGCTGACATCCAGGAATACCTACAGATGAAACATCCAAAAATGATTAGAAAGAGAAGAATTAGTAGGAAAACCTATATGACATTGCTATTTAATAAAAATGCTTAAATGCTGTTATGCATAGAAGAAATTAAGCAGTAAAGGTTTCCACTTCAAACTGATATTTTTGTAGTTTTTCATTTGATCTTTAAGACAAACTTTTACTTAAAACTGGTTCCAGTTTCTCAGTTAAAACCAAAGAAAGACATCACGCTGGTTAATATTCAGGAAAGTTTGAATATGTTGCAGAGTTGTCCCGATTGGCCGTCAGACTGGTTCGCCTCCTTGGTGCTGGTGACCCCTCAGAGGTCTTTACCACAGTCAGGACAGAAGATGTCGTTTCTGAACGTCAGGAAGCCTCGACCAACCATCGACGCGCTGCATTTTTTGCAGTTGAAGCAGTCGTTGTGCCACTGCCGATCCTCAAATGAGATATACTTGCTGCCCCCGAGACCTGAGGTAAAAACAGCAGAGAAGAGTCCCATGATTTTTTTTTTTAACGCAATAACTCTGTAATTGATGGTGATTGGACACACCAGATCCCAAGTTAAGCATATGATCTTGAGAATGTTGAGTTTAGATTGAAGGTGTTGCTTACATTGTTAAAATCGAATCAGTTACAGTTTGGTGAATCTTTCCAGCTTGATTTCATGATTAAAATTCTGAAGCAAAACTTCTCGTTTCTGCTGTGACTTTTTTCAAACTAATTATCATCTGAAGATTTGTGGGAGGTCATTTTACCACTGATTGGGTTGGTGCAGTGGGCGCATTTCTTTGCAAACAGGTTGCAGAAACACTCGAGGCAGTAGGTGGCGTCGTCTCGAGAGGTGAATCTCTGCCCAGCCAGCTGCATTTTGCATCCAGCACAAACGAAGCACTCCTTATGCCACGGCTGGTCATGGTAGCTCACTCCTCCAGTCGTAATGGGCTAAAAGATCGAAAGAAAGCAAAGCAAAATAAACAAATGAGAAATTATTTTCAAAAACATTAGTTTGGCCATTGAACTTTTTGATTTTATGACAAAAACACTGTAGCTAGGGCAACGTTATTCAGGAACAGAAGTGAAAATAAAAAGACAACACATTAGTGAGCTGCAGATTTGTTGCCATTAAGTCACATTATCATAAAATCCTTGGGTCACATTTTATAATATTTTAAAATAAAGCAAAAAATAAAAAATAAAGGTAAATGCTAACTCTCAAGAAGTTAATTAGCCAAACTTGATTTAAAGCTTAAAAATGACAATCAAAAAGCTAATTAGTCTGGTTTGAAGCTCAAAGCTAGTATCACAAACCTAAATACCTTAAGTGGTATTAAAGACAAAATCTAACTTACATTAGAGCTAATAGCTAACTGTTATAAAACTATTAGTCAATAAAGCTAAAGGCTAACTGAAGGCTAACGATCCTAAAGATAAGGCATATTTGGTATTAAAGATAAAAGTTAATTATTAGAAATGTTATTTGCCAAACTGGGATTAAAAATAACAGTTAGCTATCATAAAACTAATGAGTCTAAATTAACAGAGACATGACATTTGGATTTTGTTTTACAATTAAATTCAATTTTAAACACTAAAAAACTAACCACTAAACATACTGAATGAGAAATTAGCAAGGCGATTAGCTGACTTGTTTATACAGCAACTCCTAGATTTTTACAATTAACCCTTAATTTTTCCTGAAAAAAATAAACAAATAAATGAGACTAAAGCTAAAACAATAAAAAAACAGAGTCTGAAAGAGATCAAACTGATAACAATATTAATAATTTAAAATCTGTTATAGTTCATGTTAAAACACATTAGGTTGCATAACTACCGAGTTCCAGTTTAAACAGAAACAGATATTTTCAGCAAACGTCCTCTGAATTAGTAGATTTAAACGTTTTTCTGCATCTCTCTGACATCACACTTTGCAGCCATCTTGGCTGTGTGCTGCTGACTTTTTCTCAAGTCAAACAGACGACTGCTGCCTGCGCCACGACTCCTGCCTGCCTGACCATCTGCTTGTTGCTCATATGTGAGTCTTTGTAGCACCAACTTTCAGCTCCTCTAAGCACAGAAAAAAACCCTACATGACCATACATTTGCAGAACATTTTAACTGGTTTTAATAGCGGAAATCATAGTGGGACATTGTGAGGATGTTTACCTTCATGCAGTGGACACACTGCAGGGCAAACAGTTTCTCATAGCAGGCCAGACAGTAGTTGTTCCCGTCCTTCTTGACGAAGCTCTTGGTGCCAATAGTCTGCTGGCAGAATTTGCAGATGAAACACTTCTCATGCCAACTGTTCCCCTTATGCTCCATCTTCTTGGTGCCTGGAATAAGAATACTGAATTGCAGATTTATTTGATTTTATATTAATATTCTTTCATACTAAACTGGTGATGTTCAAACTTTTTCCCTTGAGGGACAAAACGGTTAACATTTTTTTGTTATAGAGAATGGATCAGTAAATCATTGTAAATACATTAAAACAACCTTGAAAGATTGCAAGATGATGGTTTTCTTAGGACTGTAAGATTTGCTTTGAGTAAAATTAAGTCAATAATTTTGGTTCTGGTTGCTCCAGAATTAAGATAGATGCAAAAACGTTGTAAATAAATGCTTTTTTTTTTCTTTTAAAAATTATCTATAAAAAAAATTACCCTAAAAATAAAAAAGTGTCCATCCGCTTCAACCAACTGTGTTTGCAGACGAGTTTGTCAATTACACATTTGCGGTCTGGGGGCTGACTAAAATCCTTCAGAGGGCCATAAATGGGCTGCACTTTGGACATCTGTGCATTAAACCATTTTAGCAACAGCATAAGGAGTTTTTCTTGTACCTGGCATGATGGTCTTCAGGCAGGCATGGCACTTGGAGGAATACTCCAGGCAGTAGCAGTCGGTGCACATCAGGAGGTCGTTTTTGGTGGCAAACGGTTTGTCGACCAGAGAGCGGCTGCAGTTGTNGCNGAGGAAGCATTCGCTGTGCCAGTGACAGTCCTTGAAGGACAGATCCTTCAAAAAACAATCAAATAAATATTCCATCAGCAACAAATTTAAATAGATATTTTAAAAGAATGAAAGTTACTACGTGTTTAGTGTTAGCACTGCGGCAGAGCTGGTTGCAGAACATTTGAAAAACGCCTAGAAACAAAAATGATATAATAATATAATATTCTAAATGTATAATAATATTAAGTGCTAGCAGGAATATTATATTATATTTTTTGTATTTTTTCATTGTAAGACAGTAGAACAGCTGAAAGTGAATCTCAGCTTGTTATTATACACACCAGATTTTGTTAGCACTGCAGCACAGCTGCCCTAAAATTAACTCCAAAAATGATAGGATTTTATCATCTTCTGTTCTAAAAATTGAAAGAAAGAAAAACAACAACTGAAGACAAGTCTGCACTTCTATTAGCTAGCAAGATGTTACAGGAGTTGAATAAAATAGACTCATGCACCTCCATGAACCCTCAATTTTAAGGTTTTGGGACTTAAATTATTGTAATCAATAAGTTCTTATTGATTACAACGATTAGCCACTGTTTTGATTTGTCCCCCAGAAGAAATTCACACTTTATGTATGTATTTAATCTTACAAAATTAAAATGATGGAGAAATATTTTAATTCAAGGTTAACTGTGGTTATCATTGAATCTTAAACAAGACCAAGTAAAGAAATCACAGAAGTTGACCAGCAACAAAACGTTGGATCTACATTGGAGTTAAAGCGAAAGGAGCATGGATGCATCACCTTGCTGGTGCAGCTAATGAGCTTCTTGCACTTTTCACACATGCTGGAGAAAAGGGCCTCATAGCACTTGATGCAGTACGGATATTCCTCCCTCAGGATGTACTTCTGTCCGTACAAAGAGTCCTTGCACTCTGTGCAGTCGTAGCGCTCAGACATTTTGACTCAGATCTCCTCGCGGAGTCTTCTTCTCTGCAAAATAAAATGAAATTAGTTTAAAAGACAACGGCCGTAATTACATAACCTCACAGAACAATTTACGGCGTAGAATAAAAAGATCAGACTGAGTTCCTGGAATCCTAGAGATTTGTAGTTTTACAAAGGAAAACCGTACGCCCTCAAGATCATGTGGTCGTAAAATCAACTAATTGCATAAACCTGCACTAGACCCAGTCCTCGAAGCAGTTAAGCCTCGACGACCATTTAATTAAATACTACATTCAACAAATTAGCAGAGAAATGCCACAAACTCTGGAGTAAATTCCACTTTATTAATGGAAATTACATGATTTTAAGTCTAGTTTGTACACAACAGTAAAGTTTCCACCTTCAGAGCCTCTGTTTCAACACCATTTAACATTTTTTACTTTTCACCATTTCCAACCTGAAGT